TGTCAAAGTGGAGATGACTTGGATGAGAAACGAATCACAATAGTGTGCATTGCATTGGCAATGCACACTGATAATTCAAAAACTCAAAAGAAACATATCTCCACCAGCATCAGTGTTGAGTCAACACAGGATCTGATCCTCAGCACTCTACCTGCTCTTAAATCTCGATTTACCTGCCTTCATAACAGCCAGCTGCGCTGTCACCACGACTTCCTTATATGGTCTTACTTCCTGGAATGACAATCCTGGTTACACTTGTACTAAATATTACGAAATAATAATAAGAATAATGTGACAGGAGATTAGCTTGAAGTTTAGCTTCTAAAGATGCTACATGCTACACACGGTGCCTGACACGTCCAGTAAGAAGGGATAGTTTTTATTTAGTTCAGGATAGATGGTRTTAAAATTTCACTTCTAAACTTCARAMTTTAAATAACTGGAATCTAATTTAGTGCAAGCTAATCAATCCTCTAATGGTTAGCAGAAAAGCTAATTTGCTAAAAGAGAAGCTAATTCTGCTATTAGCGGATTAGCTACATCACTTCTTTTTTCTCTATRTTCTGGTTGGCAGAGCTTCACAAAACTCGGCACATATTTATTACGAGCGTAAATATGGAGAGGCGCAAAAATCCAGATGTGGGCGTGGCCATTTGTGGCGCTAGCACCATCTTGATTGCAGCCCCTCTGACTGCTTCAATGCACACATTTGATACATGGATGCATCAGCTCAGGTCTTACAAACACATCTCTTGCTACAGGAGGTTGACACTTTTGAATGAAACGTAACATTTTGGTGATTTTTAAATGTCACAGAAGACCTTGTTTTTCCTCTCGGCAGCTGTGAACACGAGCAGAATGAATCCTGTCTACAGCCCTACACCAACAGGGGTCCCCTTCACCAACACCAAGGGTTTAGGCTACCCAGGTAAAGTCCTCATCAGCTAGAAAAACGAAGCGACACGTTTCTGGAAGGTCTTAAAGTTTATGCTTTTTCTTGTTTGTCTGCATCAGCTGGGTTCCCTGTCGGCTACGCCGCTCCAGCGTACACTCCCAGCGTCTACGCAGGCGCTAACCCGGCCTTCGCCAGCGGTAAGAACAAAACCAAACAGTTTTCAGCCACGTCAGGCCAGCGGCACACCAACCAGAGGCTTCAGATACGCAGACAGAACTACTGGGATATCCAAAACAAATACCTGAACTAGAGAAAATGCGCTCTGAATACTTATTGCTGAAAGCTGCTGAAGTCGAGCTGAAACGGTTTAATAGCAAAACTTAGTTAAATAAACAACTGACTTTTGCTTAAAGTAGAAAAACAAAAGTGAAAAATCAGAAAGATAGGAGAAAAAAACAGTCAAAATAGCTGAACAGAGCAGAAATGTCGCTAAATTGGCAGAAAATAGTAAATATTTGTGAAAGAATCAGCTTAAAAAGCAGAAAAAGTTTAAACTACCAGAAATAAGTTGCAAGAGAAAAGGGAATTTACGAACAAAATATTTAAAAAAAATTTGATATTTCAAGGAAAGAAGCAGAAAAATGACCAACATACGACCGTCACCTTTTATTTTGTGATTATTAAATATGGCTCATCGTTAAAAGAGCAACATCTGCTCAATTAAGCAGCAAAAAGCTGAAAACATTACAAAAATATTAGTTTAGCTGGGGAAAGAAGCTAATGTTAGTAAGTAAACTTTATTTCTATAGCACCTTTCACAGACACAAACATCACAAAGTGCTTCACAGAAAGCAAAAATAACTAAAAACAATAAAACAGATCACAGATATAAAAACAACAATTAAAACACAATAAAAAGCACTTAACTAAAAGCCTGTCTGAATAAAAATGTCTTAAGATGTGTGGAAGATGTACTCAGTCCACAGA